AATAGTGTCTGCCAAAATTTTGCTGTCAAATAAATCTTCTGCCTATTTGAATTTTGAATACACTAGAGCTGCTCTAACGCTTTCACGAATATCAGCTATTAATTATTATCAGTATTTTTTACCATAAATCAACTTGTCACTATTCCAGCGTCTGCGAAAAAAACGCTGCCGTCTTTTTCGTCTGCCGATATTTTTTCTGAGAGTACGTTAGTAAAGGAATCGATTTGCAAAAAAACAAAATTTGATCAATGTCGTTCACTAAAACTTGAAAATTACAAATTTGACAGGCGTCTGCCAAAGTAATGCTGTCAAACAAATCGTCTGCCTGTGTAATATTGATAAGTCTCAAACTGTTAATTCGTTTCCGAAAATTTGGATCTTGATCAATATCGTTCACCAAAATGAAAATTCATCCCCTTTTAAAATTTAACCCACGATTAAAGCTGCCACCCTGAAACGGCAGACGGTCAGTTTTGGTATGTCCAGGTAACCCTCAATCATGATTAATTAATAAAAATTTTGATCAATATCGTTCACCGAAAAACCTGCCAGCTCCTATACTACTAAGATGTTTAACACATTCGCTAGGGGTGCTTTTAGAACTTGCACACAGTTTTTGAGAAAAATGGAAGGAATTTCATCCATCCCAGGACTTGAGTTGGATTTTAATGCTATGGCAGCTTCTACTCTTTTTGGTTTAAATTTAAAGTGATTTACCTCAGTTATTGTATGAGTATTTAGTGATAGAGTAAGAATCAAACGAGAAGAAGCTATTGACGTCAGCGCTGACAAAGAAGGCAGATTTCCTTTTCTTTGGGTCCCTCCCATTTAAAGTGAGACAAACGATAACGCGCGTGGCTTCTTCTCGTTTGATTTTTACTCTAGTGTGGACCTGAGATTGTTTGCATCCAGAATAGTAAAATCACTCTCAAACTGTTGTGCGAATCACTCTGCAATTTCCTGGTCAGTTTTCAGTGTGGTTGCGGTATCCGTATCTATTAAGCCGCGTCCACATTAGTAAAAATTTACGTTGTGCGTGGCATTCGGCACAAATTTGTGTGTGCGATACAAATTTAAGCGAGTGTGGACCTGTTCGCCGCATCCGGACGCACGCAAAAATTTTCGCGGCTTGTCGGTTTTTTTCAAGATATCAAAGGGATTTGCGGCGCAACATCGTTCTAGTGTAGACGCATTTTTTCGCGAACGGAACAAATAAACGAAAACAAGCAACGCGTACACTGAAATAAAATAGGCACACACGCGTTGAGCAAGAACGCACGGCGCACAATACAAATATTTATGTCGGTCAAGATGTCAAATTTGCGCCGCAAAGATTTGTGGCGAATCCCGAATTCAACGCAACGCATTTATTTACTAATCTGGACGCGGCTTTAGATTGAAGCTGGCATGCTTTGAGTTTAGCGAACGGCTTATGTATGAATAACATTGTTTAGTGTTCGCTAATAGATTGTGTTTATAGTTTCTCCTGGCCGATACTGTACAAGTCTTTGTTTTGTTGTTTTGATGTATAGATTTGATAATTATCTTGATTTATTGTTTTGATATTCATGCCAGAAATTTCGTTTTTGTTGAATCTCTTTGAACACTTCCTTTGTGAGCCATGGTTTTTGCGGATTAACTTTTTTGTGGTTTGTTTAGATGTGTTTGTTTATTGTGTTTTAAAGCCTCATAGAATTGGTTGAAGTTTAATGGGTTTGCCAATCTTCTTTATTCCCGTCCAAGTGTTTCATTGACTGCGCTGTAATCTGCTTTCCAAAATTGCCTTTTGTAAATTTTTCTGGTTGGTTGAGCAGCTACATTGATTTGTGACTTGGCTGTGATTACAACGTGGTCGCTTTTCCTCAAGGGTGCATGTGATTTGATATCAAAAAATAACTTTTTTCCATTGGTTAAAAGTAGATCAAGTAATGATATCTGGGTATTGCAGATTCTTGTTGGAAAATTTATTTGTTGGTACCCCCTATGGTTTTTATAGCTTTCTAGGAAAGCTTGACTGCACTGGTCATTCGGATGAACTTCCAGTGTATACCACTTTATTTCTGGGTAATTGAAGTCTCTCATAATGTAGAATGGTACTTTTAGTGACAATGCATTTTCAATGGTTTTTGTAAGTTGTATGTTTTCTGCTCCCATGGTTTTGTGGTTTTACTTTGGATTTGTACACACATGCAACTATATAGAATTTCAATTTTGCCTATCAAAATTTTTAACTATTATTGATTCAACAGGTTCTGTTGTATTGTATGTTTGAGATCCGGTCGCATGAACATTGTATCCTGCAATGTCACTTTTGACAAAGGCGCAAACTTCTCCACCAGCTACTCCTCGGTCTTCGCGAAACAGTGAGTAACCAGCTAGATGGATTAAGCTGTCTGATATTTGCTGAGTTAGCTTCAGTAATGAGAATGATGCTCGAGTTAGTGCTTTGTATAATAACTTTTTAGTTCATTGAGCTTGTTGGTCATGGATCATAGGGTACCATACGGAGACTTCAAAAATAGCGTCGCGCTTTGGTTTTTGGCGGTTTGGTCGTGGGAGAGAACTATCCTAGGAATGTCATTGAGATACCTGATCTTCAAGGCAACCTCTCCTTTTTGCTTACGTTCTTCCAATTCTTTTAGGATGTTTTTGAAGAGGTGTTCGATCCGTTTTAATATAAATTCCTTCCTCTTCGAGGTTGTTTTTGTTTCTGAATATTCCTCGGGAAGCTGCTACAGAGGGTAGAATCACACGGATTGGTCTTACTTTACCCTAGGACTCTGCTCCCAGTTGCTAGACTTCAATATCAGTTTACTGAATATTGTTACTTACTACTGATTTAATCAGTTTGTATGCTTTTTGTGAGTCAGAATCTGGCTCATTTTGTTTGTTGCTTTCTTTTGCTCCAAAGATCAGTACATTTGAAGATCGTTTTTGTCGCTCAACTCGCTCAGTCATTCCGCAAAGTGTTGGCGCAATTGTGGTGTGATCCCCTAGTGGGGGTTGATTTTTACATATGGTTTTTTGTGCTGTGACCTCAGTATTGAGTTCTTCAACTTGTCTTCTTAGGTTTGTAATATCGGCAACCGCCTGAGCATAACTTGGTGCATTTTCATTGATTTGTTTTTTTAGTTCCTTAGTTTCCTTTTCCAGATTATCAATTCTCTTGTTGATCGTTGGTAGATCCTTGACACTTGCATTGATAGCATCCAGACAGTCTGAGCAAAAGTATTTCAGGATGTGGCTTGATCATAGTACTCAGATTTCGCTTGATGTAAAGTGCAGGAAAGAGCTCCTGTTTCGAAGCTTTCAACTCGATTCGGATCAAGAACGGAGTTCCGAGGTCCTTAGAAGTAAACAATTAGAAGATAGGGACATCAACAATAACCATCTTTGGAAACCGGCCATAGATCGCCAACAAACTGGAGAAGACAAAGAATATACGTATATTAAGGATATTACATGGTTGTATGGAATCTGCTGGTAGTAGGGAGATCGGGAAAATGATTATGGATCCGAGTGGAGGTATAGACATAGAAAAGAAGGTGCTACACGGTGAAGGCTCATCACGGAAATAAATGATCAGATCGGGATGATCTGATTAGAGAGGAAGGCAGTCTCTCGAGCGCGAATATTCAGGAATTCGTTCCATTCTGTATTTTAAATAAACAAGCCTTCACGTGAATCTACAAATTTCTTGATTAAATAGTTTTGTATACAAACCGCGTAGTTTGTAATCTCAGTTAGTTCAAATATGAGAATTTTCGTATACAAAGTGATAGATGATTATAAAAAAAAATCAATAAAAGTTGATGTCGTTAGCAAAGAGAGTTTTATTTGACCCGCGGAATCTGTGATTTAGCCCAATTATATTATCACATAATTATTATTATTTCTTCTCAATTTTCTTCTATGCCCTACTTTCATTTATTTATTTTTTTTCTAAATAGGACTTGCGTTGAAAAAAAAAACAATAAGAAAATTCGAGAGGGTGAAATAGACTAAATAAATGTCCACTGGTCTAAAATTTTTTTTCTCATGTGCCTCCCTATGGATTTTTATCTATTCCCAGTCATTGAGTTTCCGTTTTCCTTCAAATTCCTCAAAATAAAGAAAATACATGACCCTGAGTAAACCAAAAATTCAAGTCTGGAAGTTGACGGCATAGTCAGCATAGAAGAAAAAATATATGTATTTCTAACACTGCTAGACTATTTATTCGCATATTTTCTCAAAAAAATGGTTACGATGTGTTTTGATATGACACACACTGTGGCCTAGACATTTCAATAGCTTAACACATAACTGTGCAGTGAATAGTCTCTAAGGGATCTAGAACGAAATAAAGCATCCAATTCTTGTTTTTGCCATACACAAGATACCATTCAATTTGAAACTGGAAAGATGTACTCCTAAATATTGCATTTTCTCTTGCCGGAAAACATTTCAAGGCTCGCTGAATCGGAGATAATAAAATAACTAGATTTTCTTTTGAACGAAAAATCTGTTCCCCCCTTTTCCTGTACATGATAGTAAAGCGATTCAAATATCAAAAGATAGAATTTGCCTGCATTGGAATGGAAAGATAATAACATTTTGAAGAAGTATTGGATTTATTTTTGAAAAAATATTTAGACATACATTTATCTTTATTTAAAAAAACAATTTATCATATAACTTTCATCAGAAGGGCCCCCAAAAAACGGTATTAAAAATTTAATATACCTGCAACTGCTACACACAATTTCGTATTTTGACAAACGACTTGAATTTTTTTCTGATAGCAATGGCAGATTCATTAAAAAATCATTATTTTGCATATATGAACCCAGTTGCGATTGTCTTGTCATAACATCATAAATCACTGCTAGGGCAACATGTGCTTGTGAAAATTCCACCCCTTCTTTGTGATTGACAACGTTCTGTTGGAATTAATATATGGGCCAATCAAGAAATGTTAATATAAAAAAAAAAATGTTTTTCAATGAAACTTTATTTTTTTAATAGAAAATATATATTTTTTAAGTAAATAACTAAATATAATACCCAAGTAATACCCATTGGAAAATTATTTGGCGCACACTATTTGACATAATACAAAACACAAAAATAATGTCAAATTTCTATAAGCAAATTAAATCTATCTGGTAAGTAAAAATAATTCATGAACGAGACATTATGAGAAAATTCATATGATTCAAAAATGTAGCATTTTCATAGCTATTGCGTAAGCTTTTGATTTCGTGAGCTCATCATAATTCTACACTTCCTAATTCTCATATATTTTCTGATAATAATCTAGCAATAACGGCTTCCCGTAGCAAGCAAATAAACAAATAAAAAACTTAAATTCTGGACATCTATCACCTAATAATAATAATAATAATATGTAAGTTGGCACAAACTTCTTTGACACACAAAAACAAAACCAGGTTCTCACCCCTTTCAAAAACAAATTAAATCTAATTATTTTTATAATAAAAAAAAAAGGAATCTTTCAAGGAATGGTTAACTCATTATATCTTCTTATTGCTCCACTACCCGTACTGTATATGACAAAGTCTCATTAATGAACTCCGAAATCTGGTCATGCAAAACAATGATATAATTACCCTTCTTGGTGAAGCATTGGGCTTTAGTAGTGATTGGTCCACATAGACTTCTTGCGTATTGACGTAAGTTTTTGCCCGAGTTATCGATTATATCAATGTCAAGCATAAATTTCTTTGCTTCTTCAACAGGTCCAATAAGTTGAAGCTCCCAGTAGAATTTTCGATTTTCGTATTTAAAACAGACCTGAAAGTTAAACACAGTGTGTGAATATAGAAGGTACGAAAGTTTAAAAATGATTTTTGCAATGGGTCAGATTTCATTCATCTATAATTCAACGAGTCATAGAGAAGTTACCATAAAAAATGGATCATCAGTACCTTATAAGCTTCTCATGAAGACAATTATTTTGAAATAAATGATAATATTTTGGAAACTCACCTTAAAAATCCTGTTTGAAAACTTGATAACATAATACTTTGCAAAGTTTCCATCTCCGCCAGCTCCAAATGGAATACTAACTTTACCATTCTGCAAAATATACTCCTCATGATTATTTTCAATGTGGCCAATAATGTCTGCTTTGGTAAATTTTTCTGTGCAGTTTTCAATTTCAGCCATTGGACAATTGTAAGGGCCGAATTCGCAACAGTTTTCATGAGCACGAATTTCGGTTGATTTGAAAGCTAAAGTGCATCCGACCTTGTGGTATTTACACGGGTAAATCATACGTCCCGTGATATTTTCCAATAAAAAGTTTTGGGTAGATCGAATTTCGCCTCTACACACTGGACATGGGACCACTTGTGGTTTGCACGATGAACAAATACTGTGGCCTTTAATGCATTGAAAAATTGGAGGATGCATATATTCGAAGCATACTGGGCACACTAGTTCGGCAAGTAAATTCCAATCGACCTCGGGATTTTTGAATGCTGTTTTAATCTTAACGTCATCTTCATCTATGTGAGTTTTCAATATTTCAATACATGCTACAATGACAGCTGGATCATTAAGTTTTTCTCTTAGATCGCTCGCAGAGTACTTTATTTTTTCATCGAAATCGGGCGATGTTGAACGTTGCACACTGTTGAAATGATGGGTGGAATCGCCAGTTTCGAATCGAATGTAATAATTGAAAGATTTTGGTAATTCAGTTTGAATTACATGTTCCACAGAACATGTGAAAATGCCCTGTCTTGAGTCAATTTCTTTGCGAATAATATACAATTCTTCCTCAAACTGCATCAGCATATTTTCCTTTATGCTGTTAAGAAATTGGATCTCAAATTTTTGATTCTTCAGAACCAGATTTGGGTGTGAAGCCTCAAAATGTGCCTTGAGGTCTTTGTTTGGTCCTTGCCAATTGCATCGAGTAAAACTCTTGGAAGGACAATCAACTTTTCGGTTAATGCAACACTGTTCATGATCTTTCAACTTCAGAGGAGTCAATTGTTCTGTACACCCATTTTTCGTTTCCAAGCATGGGAAAATAAAAAACTGCGCCAAGCCTTCGTAAGCTTCATCTCTTATGTATTCATTATCGTTAGGAATTTTACAACGGCCACAAATGGACTTATCACCATCAAGATTAACGTAGATGGGAAATACAGATAGGTAACCATTACAAATGGTACAAACCAGCTTTTCTCTTAGTTCAGGTGGGACGTAAACATGGGCCATTTTGGATATCTGCAACTAATAAAAATAAAAACTTAAGATTAATTCGCTTCTGCACAAATTGAATGTGATAATCGAATATAATGTTGCATTTGCAATTAGAATATGTTAAGTGTTTTGTGTAGCTCTTCTCCTGGCTCTTCTGTTTGAGTCATTTTTTTGCATTGTAAACATACATCAAATTTGTGACTCAAGAAGTGTTAGCACCCTCATGAGTGGCCTTTTTGGGAAGAGTTCTATAGTTCTTCTAGGGATGCAGTAATACTTAGTTCTGCAGTAGAAGTTGAAAATTTTTAAAAGCAAAAAACGGGGTGCTAACTTCATGCCATCATGCTGCACCCTTAATTGATTCTAGAGCAGTTCTGATGACATTTTTCGGTCGGCGTACTGTAGTTCTATGGTTCTGGATAAAATCTAGACCTCGTTCTATACATAGTTCCCAGAGGGTTGCAGTTAATAGTTCAGCAGTAGAAGTTGAAATTTTTAAAAATAAGGCGGACTTTCCAATGCAATTAAGGGAAGACTCTGCTGCTGAGCTAAGACCCATTGATCCCAACTCATTGATAACTTATAAACAAACTTGATAACAAGACAATATATCGTTCTGTAAAGTGTAAGGGAAAATTTTATAATAACGCCGCACAGATTTTTTTTTTTTTTTTGAGTTTATGAAAGTAAAGATACTTGTTCGCCAGACACTCTAGACAATACCGGATAGTGCTATTCAGAACTCCGGAAAAAAACCTATAGAGAATGAACGTTTTGGCTACAAGACAGATACAGCTTTCATGCTGAGGACAACTGTTGTTTTTTTGGGTAGCACCCTTGAGTTAAAGCTTTCAAAAGTAATTTTTAATTAAATAATTTTGAAATACTATAGAGTGCTACTCAGAACTATGAAAAAACATATAGAGATTGCACATTGGGTCAGCAGAGCATTTAAATCCCGCTTTGATGACAAGAACTTTTGTTCCCCAGTAGCACCCCTGAGTTTCAGCTTCAATATGTGATTTTTCATAAAAAAATATTGAAATAATAAAGGGTGCTATCGCTATTCAGAACTCAAAAAAAAACACAAGGAACGAACGTTTTCACCCCTATTTTTGGTTTTTTGCCTAATTGTGTTAAAAAAGTATATGAATATCTATTAGAACCGCTGGTTTGAGTTGTGAATTTCTGCTTTGCAGAGGGTTACTTTCCTGAGGCATTGAAAATAGGACATAACTATAACCATACCAGAGTGGAGCAGCGGCGCAAATATGTGAAGATATTACCGTCCAATATCTGATGTCTATCAACTTAGCGAGACAACTTCGAAAAATCGATTTTCCATTATGCCAAGAATTTGCCGCTTTTTAGCCGCTAATTAAATGTGTAATTAAAAAATTTGCCGCTCTTTTGGTTTTTTTCTTAATTACGTGTTTTGCTAACTTGACGTCAAGATAGCGAGACAACATCACTAAATATGTCAGCACTAAAAAACTAGGTAGGTACGTGAAAATTTGCCGTTTTTTTGCCGCTAATTAGTTGTGAAAATCAAAAATTTGCCGGTTATTTTTTTTTTTTCATAAAAAATAAAGTTTGAAAAAAAATCATTTGTTTCGCTAACTTGACGTCAAGATAGCGAGACATTATCACCAAAAATGTCGGTAATGAAAAATTGAGTGAATGGGAATTTGCCGTTTTTTTGACGCTAATTAGTTGTGAAAACCAAAAATTTGCCGCTTTTTTTTACAAAAAATCAAGTTGGAAAAAAAATCATGTGTTTCGCTAACTTGACGTCAAGTTAGCGAGACAATATCACTAAAAATGTCGGTAGTGATGAGTTGAGTGAATGGAAATTTGCCGTTTTTTTGCCGCTAATTAGATGTGAAAACTAAAAATTTGCCGCTACCTTTCTTTTCATAAGAAAATCGTGTTCGAAAATAAAATAGTGTTTTCCTAATTTAACGTGAAGTTATCGAGATCACTAAAAATGTCGGTAGTGATGAATTGAGTGAAGAAAATATCGCGTTTGAAAAAAATATCATGTATTTCGCTAACTTGACATCAAGTTAGCAAAACAGTAAACAGTATCAATAAAAATGTCGGTAGAAAACTTCATTCATCTGTCAAAACTGGTATTCGAACCATAAACTTGGCTCTGTGTCATTTGCGCGACAGTCGTTTGCGCGAGGGAGAAAAGCGCCATAATAAAAGCGCGAGGGACAAAAGCGCGACGGAACAAAAACTCGAGGAACAAAAACGCGGAAGAAAAAGCGCGACGGAACAAAAACGCGACTGGAGTAAAGCACGATTGGACAACAACGCGAGGTATCTAACTATCTACGAGGACTGTAAGCAAAAGAGGGACACATCAAATTGTATCAATAAAATTCAGAAAAATGCAGCCTTACTCAAACTAACCCATACTAACCTGTTCCCCTAGTGCGATCTTGTCTTCGTTAAATAGAATTTTATTTGAAAAACCAGGCGCGGTCAAGGGACCCTACGCTATAAATAAATTGACTGTTTTTTTGGATAAAATGCTAACTTATGAGTACTAGATCGCACTAGGCGGACGGGTTATTTTGGGTTAGTTTGAGCAAGTCTGTATTTGCTTTATTATTATTGGTTCAAATTGATGTCGCAATACAGACTTACTCAAACTAACCCAAAATAACCCGTCCACCTAGTACGATCTAGTCCTCGTAAGCATTTTATTTAAAAAAACAAAGTTAATTCACTGATTGATTGCTCAGGGTCTCTTGAGAGCGCAGTGCTTTTTAAATAAAATGCTAACTCACGAGGACGAGATTGCCCTAAACGGACGGGTTAGTTTGGGTTAGTTTGAGTAAGTCTACATAATTTTGATATTGGAACAATTTGATGTTTCCCTCTTTTGCTTAGAGGTCGTCGTTGTAAATGTCGCTCTTTCAATTTTTCACTGTTCTAAATCTCGTTCTTTACATATGTCGCTCTTTTGATATGTTGCTGTTTTTTTTAGATGTCGCTATTTTGAATATCATCGCTGTTCCAAATGTCGCTATTTTGATATATCGCTTTAACAATATGTCGCCTTTTTGATGTTGCTATTTTAAATATCGTTCTTTTGAACCGGAGCCACCGAAAATATCTTGTATTTTGGAAAACGATGTCCAGTTCTCGTAGTAAGGCACTTCACGTTCTTGGCCAATCGCGCTTTATCCAGTCGCGATTTTGTTCTGTCGCGCTTTTATCCAGTCGCGTTTTTGCGCAGCCGTGCGCTTTTGTCCCTCGCGCTTTTGTTCCTCGCGCTTCTATCCAGTCGCGTTTTTGTCCATCGCGCACTTGTCCTGTCGCGTTTTTGTTCCGTCGTGATTTTGTCCTTCGCGCTTTTCGTATCGCGCTTTTCTCCCTCGCGCAAACGGTTGTCGCGCAAATGACACAGATCCCATGCATAAACTGGCATTTTTTAATTGTTGATTTCAACCAATCAGATTACGATTACGTGATAATTTGTACTACACCTTTTCCATAAGTATTTCAGAATATATCACTTGTATTTCAGATTCATCAATTCTAGTTCAGAATGCGTCAGCTGTATTCCAGTTGTGTAAGTTTAATTTCAGAAAGTGTTATTTGTATTTCAACTGTGTCAGTTGTAGTTCAGCAAAAGTCATTTGTATTCTAGTTTGGTCAGTTGTATTTCAGAAAAAGTAATTTGTATTTCAGTTTGGTCACTTGTATTTCAGAAAACGTCATATGTGTTTCAGATTATTTATTTGTAAATCAGAAATTGTAAATTGTATTTCAGAATTTGTCAGCTGTATTTCAGATGTTATCAATGTAGTGTATTAAATGAAATTTATGATGGTTCACTTATACACCTTGCTTGTGTTGATTTGGGATAATCTGTTCTTATAATATTATTATCTGAAATACAACTGATGATTTCTGAACTACATCTGACAAATTCTAATAGTATATTACATACCGAGGTGGAAAGTGTTTCATTACTGTCGAGAGAATAGTTAGTTAACTGAGACGCGAAGCGTCGAAGTTAACTATAATTTCGAGACAGGAATGAAACTTCCCACCGAGGTTTGTATACTATTTTATTTACAACAATTACAACCCTTATAATTTCGACTAAATACTAAAAAAAAAAAATTAAAAATTTGTTGACAAGTTCTGACTCATTTAAAAAAACGTTTGACATGCAGGACTCGCCTTAAACATTTTAGGAAATGAGAACTTACTTTCCACCCGGGTGGAAAGTGAGCACTTTCCACCCGAGACCACTTTCCACCCGGGTGGAAAGTAAAATTCAAAAAAGTGTCACTTTCAAACTTTTGAAAAGTCAGAAATGTCAACATTACGTATGTGGTTGTAAATAAAATATAATTCACGCTTTCTGAAATACAATCAACGAATCTAAAATACAATTGACGCTTTCCGAAATAAAATTAACTAGTCTGAAATACATTTGACGATTTCTGAAATAAAATATACCAGTCTGAAATACAATTGACTCTTTCCGAAATATAATTAAATAATCTGAAATACAATTGACGCTTTCCGAAATACAATTCACTAGTCTAAATTGCAATTGACGCTTTCTGAAACTAAACTGACGGTCTCTGAAATACATATGGAAAAGGTGTAGTGCAGGATTATCGGATTGGACAATTGCTTACTAACGGGTGGCATTTGACATTTTTTCTGATTGGTGACATTTTATACTTACGAGGATATACTAAAAATTTAAATTTTTGATTCATGAAATTCTCTCATAAAATACAACTCGAGCAATGGAAATATATCTATAGGTAATTTTGGAGAAATTTGCTCTCATGCATTTTTAACTGGTAAAAGCACTCGTCCCTCGTGCTTTTTTTCAACTAAAAATGCATTTGGGAAAATTTGCCAAAAATTATCGATAATTTCCATTTTATCCCAATTTAATTTTATTTCTAATTTTATTTTATTTTCTGTATAAATGAGCACACGATATTTCGCTTTCTGATTTTTGAAACCTATAAGGCCTCCAATAGAGT